CGGATATTATCCGAAAAAAACTTCGAGTTTTGCGGGTCGGTTCGGGTTTTGCTCAGCCCTAACCACAAGGGCATTTGCGTAAGTTCACTAAACTTTGCCTGCTCGACTACTCCCTGTCTAACTCCATCGCCTATTAGGGCATTTCAACTCTCAGACGCTCTTCAATGACTTTGGATGCATCTGGATATCTTTTGCTCATCCATCATCCTGCCCGGATTTCCCTTTCGATCGCTCATCTCCTAGCGGCTCTATCTCACCTCATTCTCTCACCCAAGGATATTATCATGAGGACCGTCCACCCCTTCCACTTTTCCGACTCCCCCAACCTCCTCACTTCAATCTAGCCTTCAATCAGCATCATCTTACCATTTCTTGAGCGTTCATCCGATCCTTCTCACTGATCACTTCAGTCCGACCCATATATGGCAGTGATGGTCCTCAGGAGGTACATCCATTATAATTCCTTTTTGCATTAATTTATGTTACCATGGTCCCTCAATTGGTATAAACTCTGCATTATTCTTCACAAGGTTTTTTTTTTGAAGAATATTCTTCACAAGGGTATTTCCAAATTTTTAAGTAACCTATTGTTTATATAATCTATGGACGGATAATGGCACGTAGATGCCCAGATGGGGCTGAAAATATGAAAACAGTTCGACAGTTTACATGTTTATTCATTTAGATGGATTTATTTTTCTTATTCATTTAATACATGTTTCTATCGTGGTTAATAGAATTTACTCCGTATTCCTTATTCTCTAGATTTTTTAGAACGTCTATTAACTATAGATTTGCAACTGATACACTATGAAAAAGGCAATGCTACCTACTAACCGCTATAAATAAACGGTTAAGTTACCAAACATATTTTTGCAACCCGCCAAATTAATCCGCTGGTCTAACCCGTTAACACTATCCGCTAACCGCTAATCGCCGATTGCCAAACACAGCCAAAATGATGAATGTAGTGGAAGGTTCCTCTTATTTTACTTAGGTGGGTTATGGGGTAATCAGACTACACTAACCTATATTCAATTATCATGAAATAAATGGAGGAACCCTCAGTAAAACTTCCCAAACTGATTCTTCATGCAGTTTATGGTGTATTCTTTGAATTTCTTTTTATCTAGATTTTTTTTTGAAACTTTTTTTCAATACATATATTTTTATATAAAGATTATGTTTTTCAAAGGTTTCTTTCCAATTCTCTTTGAGATCTCCTAAAGTATTATAACCCACTTTTATATTTTCTTTTATAAAATGAAAAGGTGCAACTGACAAAAAAAGGAGTGATCGAGTTTGACCAGTAATAAACATGTTAACATCTTTAACTTTAATTCATATTTTGTGTTAAATATTTGAAATTTTGTTTAAGGTAGTATTTAGTCATCTCTCAATGATTATATTGAGTCCAGGGTTTATAGAATTGGAGGTTAATAGCATACTTAGTAAAATAAAGTATTTTATGAATGCTTGCTTTTAATAGCTTTTGTAACTAAGAGGATGATACATATTACAATAAATAAGTGGGAAACAATGCCAAGCTAAGGGGTTAATGGCCCTGTCATTTTTTTAAAGTTTCTTTCAATAAGGTTAAGTCAAAGGCTACAATTTTCTTCTAGCTTGCTGGTCGTGTTTGATATAAGTATCTATATATACTTAATTAATCCACATATGCGTCACTTTAGTTATTCTTTTTTAGTTTTGCTTCATAACACAAAAATTTTATAAAGTGATCTGTGTTTGATAAAGATGACGAGTCCTATATTTTTATAGAAACTTTAGTTATATTTTGATAAAAAAAATTATAAAGTGATCTATGCCCTTCCTCTTTTAGATTCATCAGTCCTAACCTCTACCCTCAAGTATAAGGTTAATATTTTGGTCTTGGATCCCACAAGTAACACCTAATTTGTATTATGGGATACGCAGTTTACTAATTTGATTGAGCAACTGCTCATGCCCTCCAAGATGAGATATGGAAGGTAAATTTGATTATTATGTCCTAAATGAGTAAGTGAAGTGAAAATAAACTCATTAAAATCATTTCAGTACAGTCTTGGTCCAGATTATTTCCCAACTCAAATAGTAGGGTCGGTAGATTCTCAGTTTTTAAGGTGCGTAGTAAGAAAGAGGAAAAAAAATCATCAAGGGTACAAGAACATTTAGAGAGTGTTTGCAAATGCTTTTGCTTTAAAAAAACACTTTTTTGAAGTGATTTTGGAAAAGCGATTAGTAGTAAAAGTTGATAGTGTTTGAGAAAAATGTGATTTTGAAAAGTAAAAGTTGGTAGTGTTTGATAAAATAAGTGCTTTTTGTGTAATAGAAAAAGTAAAAAACATTTTTCATTCAAAAGCCGAGAAGAGCTTTTTAAGTATAAGTTGTCACTTGATAACCCTTTTTTTTTAGCTTTTTTAACTCAAAAGCCAAAAGGTGTTTTTTTAAGCAGTCGCAAACACTCCCTTAGTCTTATAGATGCGACATATGATGCTAAAGTTATTTCTCTATATTCTCACAAGGCAGCGAGAAATAAGGCCGGCCTTCTTTTAGCTTTTCAATAACATATTTACATTGTAATATATGGGGAATATGATCAATTCTAAATTCATGACATGTTGATGGTGATTTCAGTGTACTAATACGGCAAAAGGAACGTGAGAAGGTAAAACACCTAAGCAAATTTACAATTTTGTTGGAGTTAATTTATTTTAATACTAACTTACAGATTGGTTATATTAATACTCTGTAATAAATTGTCTTGAACTGGATTGACAGGTCGGGTCTTCAAATGGAGAAACACACAGTCCGCTGACTATCAAACCTGATGATAATGAAACCTTACACCGTTCTTTGTTGGGAGAGTAAACACTGTTTTGTTAAAATTTGGAGAAAAAATTATTTGAGTAAAGATTGTTTTGTATTTTTGGATGAACTTATTTTTCCCTACACCTAGAAAAGGGTAGGATGGATTGATGTTTTTTTTAAGCTCAAGTTATTTTCCTCTTGAAGGAAACAGTTTTGACGGTTGGTGTTGATTTTTAGACTCAAGTTATTTTTTCTAATAAAATACTCTTTCCATCTCGAAATTAAGTTCCGGGTTTGAGTCACGGGTTTTTAGGTAGAATAGAAAATAAAAGTGGCTTTTGGAAATTATCCTAGAGTTATTAGATTTAGTATCCCAAATGGTACAATAAAGGGGTAAATGAATACACATTAGTAAAAGACTAAATGAACAATAAAAACTTACTAAAAAAAGCCTAAGTAGAAACTTTAATTTGGGACATCGCGAGTACGAAAGGTGAAACTTAAGTTTTAGAGTACAACTTTTGTATGGGTTAAAATTGCTTATAATTAGCATGACATAGTTGGAAAAACAGTTCATTTATATTATTTTTGCTTACATGTTGAGTGTTTGCTATTTTTATTTTGATGAGTGTGATATCTTTATTTTATGGTGATCTATCGAATTATATGATTACTGGTGCGGGTTTATGAGACGCAACTGAGAAGTAAAAGTAAACAAAAACTTCAGCACTTCTTTACAAAAAACTTTCAATCTTTGTTTCATTATTAGTAGTTGAAGAGATTGTAAAACTTCCTTCAAATCTTGATTCATTTTTTGCAAGTGTATACAAGAATGAGGATGTTGGAGACTGGTGGTGTTCATTTGGTTCTCATGTGGGTTGACTATCTCCAATCACATATGAGGATATAGTTAAGCTCATAAAATATGGAGATGATAAAACTATGGAATGGAATCAAAAGACTGAAATATTGCCATTTAAGGTTTACCTATGATGAAGAAGCATTAGAAAATATGTACTCAAAATTGAATACTAAGTCACTTTCTACATAACATTATGTTAATTTATCAATGGGAGTACGATTTTTTGAAAAAAAAAACATTGAGTATAGTTTTTTCTGGAAGATCAAGAGTAATAGTTAAATAGCATATTTCAATAGTTTTTAATGACCGTATAGTTATTTTGTTCCCCGTGCAACGCACGGGTAAAAGACTAGTTGATAAAATATCATATATGCACCCTGTACATATAGGAATATAGAATCTCTTTTATGAGTAAGACTTTGGTAGTATAGATATAAATTTACCATAAATGAAATTAACAATTGACTTTAATTGTTAAGGAATTACATCCTTTAAAATTACCATAAATTCTTTTTAGGAATTACATCTATCTAATGTAATTGACTTTAATTGTACATTTTATTGAAATTAAAGTGAATTTTATATGTATTCTTAATAATTTATTTAATTGAATTTTCAATTGAATTTTGAACTGAAATTTTGTATACATAATATACACTCTATGAAAAATATGTTCACAAAATTTTATCAAAAGATTTCATCCGAGGCAACCTCAAATGGAAGCGCCCTGTGACTAGTTCTAGTTAGGCGGACTAATGAGATAATTTATCCATATAAGAGGATCTCCAATAAATGGTAAAAAATGTTTGGAACGTCAAACGAGCTTCTTCAAAATACCACTCATTTGAATTGTTTTCAAATACATTTCCCAACATACGGGCTTGTGTAAAAGACTTTTTAGAATGAGAAAGTGAGTTTGACACTTTCTTTAACATCTAAGCACGACAGAAATTTTTTTAATTTGCTATCCAGTTATATTGTGTAGCATGAAATATGAAATATGAAATATTGTGTAACATCTATATTAATATATAGGTGTCCTAGTTGTACAATTTATTATATTTTTATCATAGGCTTTTTGAAAACTAGAAGATTTTTGTACTTTATCAATACTATTTACTTTATTAAAGTATACACTTGGACTGTAATTTGTTTCAGACCAGACCAGACCAGACCAGTTCAGACCAGACCAGACTTGGATAGTTATAAAAATACAAAGAAACCAGACCTTACCAGACCAGACCAGTTCAGACCAGACCAGACCAGCAAATTACAGTCCAAGTAAAAACATCCTATGTACTATTTACTTTATTACATCATAATGTAATTGCTTTTGAGGTGAATTTATTTCCTAAAATAAAGGTGAGACATTTTTTTAATACAACAAAAAAGGAAAGTGAAACAGGCACGGAGGGAATAATAACTTTAATAACATTTCTTCATAAACTTATTTTTATGACTCGTCACTAAGCTAGTTTTGACTTTGTTTAGAGAGAAGAATAAAAAATAAATAAGATCCAATTGGAAAATGAATTGTCAATAAATAAATTATTTTTAATTTAAGTATTTACAGACAAGGGCACAACAAGACAAGGCAGTGTTCCCGTCAAATTTCACAATTCATTAATTGGTTCGAATGTATCACCGATTCCGTATCGCACGGTGTACCGAACCGTCAAACTTGACAGATAAGGACAACTCATTCTCCAATCCCGTGTACATTACTCATCCACGCCCCCACGGTCATGACGGCGTCAGCCTCCGACCAGGTTAACGTCACGGCCCGTTAACTTTCCAACGGCGTCTTCATGTTCCTCATATCACCAACCGCGAGAACGCCGGCGCCGCGGTCCCCGACGTAAACCTTCTCGTCGCCGCCGCCGCAAATGATATCCACCACATTCTTGACTCGCGAGTGCCACTCCGCACATATAGCCGGAGCTTTACCCGGTTTTCGGGTATCATAGGCAGCGACAATGACGTCTTCGCCGTTATCTCTAGCCTCCGATGACATAACCACCGCCGGCGACGCCATCGTCACAGCCGGGACCCTAGAAGATCCGGGGAAAGTATTCGTCGGTGATGCCGTATCCTTATTCAAATCCCAAAGTGAAATAACCTCCTCGTCAAAATCGTAACCCAGAGCCAAATTGTCCCAGAGCTTGACCACGCTCTTCCCGCCGGACCACGCCGGTAACCTCTCGACGACGTCCCGTCGCCGTCGACATCTCAGATTGCCGCCGTTTCTTCTCCTCTGGCCTTTATAGAAAGAGGAGCTCGTAATCCGCCGGATCTCATCCTCTTCTGAGGAAGCAACCGAGGAATTCTCGTCATCGTCTTCATCGGAGAAATCGAAATCCTCGTTGAGATACTGAAGCAGAGGCTCCGCAGAAGGCTTGACCGTGCGGATGTAGAAGAAGAAAAGCTTCAATCGCCTGATTATGCCGCCGAAGGTGGCAACCAGGGCTAGAATCAGAGCCCCCCATTTCCAGAAGCTACGCTCGATTCCAGAGATCGGAAAGGACCGAGAAATGAGAGATGGGTTCTGTAAACATTTCACACCCGCTTCGAAATCTCTAATCATATTCAGATCAGGAATCTCCATATATCAGTACCCACACAGAGAGATTTAGGAATATCCTTCTATCTGGTATCTATCAACAGATTGATTTTAGAGAGAGAAGCAGAGCAACAGATCAGAGAGAAACCCGAGTTTGGGTTTCAGAAGGAAAAGTGGAGAATAGAAAAGGGGAGAGGGTGGGGTATTTATGAAGGGGAACGTGGGAAATGTGGTGAATTGTGTATGTGGCTGCGTGACAGCTTGACTCTCTCACAGGGGTTCCTTGTTTTTAACGGCTTTGTAGTTTTTTACTGTGTCCGTAACAAAAACATTTTCTGATTTTCTATTTTTTTTTTTTAATTTTTAAATATGATCAAAAAAATTAATTTTTAAAAATTTATTTTTTAAATCTTCTCATTGTGGATTAATAATGAGAACGAGCGGTTCTTTTCCTAACTGTTGTTCTGTTTTTGAACGGGTTCCTGATTTGATTTTAAACTTACTTTATAATGATTTCTTAGATAAATAAAGCTTTGATTTACTTCAAAAAATCTTCTCATGAGGGATGTTTTTACTTGGTTTGAAATTCGCTGGTCATGTTTGATCTAAATTAATCTGGTCTAGTAATATCCTGTCTCTGTGTATCTTATAATTACTGAAGTTTAGTCTGATCTGATTTGGGATTAAAACAATCCAAGTAAAAACATTCATATCCTCAATAATTTTGAATATAATACAATAGTATAATTACTTTTTTGAGTTTATTCTTCATTCCTTCACACTATTCTATTATCTTCTCATCATATCTCAATAATTCATATCCCCTTTCACTATTCATAATCAATCTACTTTCAAAATGGGAAGATCTTTTTGTTATGGAGGGAGTATACCTTTCTTATTATTGCATAAAACTTGTTACTATCTTTTTAATTAATTATTTTTATATTCCTATTATTTTTGTCTCTTCTATTTATACATGTCCCAATCATATGGAGTAGTTTTTATTTTATTATTTTACATGTCAATCAAATTTAACATAGGAGAGAAAGGAAGTACTATTTTCTCCATCCTTCACAATTTTATCAAAATAGCGTGTTTAGATTCATGCAAAAGAAAGTTAAATAAACGAAAATATAAATTAATTTATCAAAAAGAAAGCAACAAAATTCTTCACGGCACAAAGAACGTGAAGAAAATAAGGTTATAAAGGCTAAACAAACATGTAAAAAGTATTTGTGTTAATATTGTTGTTATTCTTTTTTGCTAAGGCTAAACGTTCCTGAATTAGTTGGATCAATCTTGTGATCCAATAAATTCACCTCAACTTTTAGGAGTAAGAAGTCGTTTAAACAACTCGTTAGGTTTTAAACACCCATGAATGTACCACTGTGTGCAAGAAGTCCTATAAATGAATTGAGTTCACGAGTCCAGTACAACTCCTCAAAATAATTGCCACGGTTGATTAAACACTCTCATTTTCACATCATTGCTTGAGACAGGATGAAACACTGATTGTGTGACCACTCGGGCTAACCTGATGACTAAAGTGTCATCATTTTAGAAAATCCTTCCAAATCCATTTTTTGGTGTCTTGAATTCAAGACTTCTCACTTAATTGTGAGATGTGATCCATTAGAACCAGTCCCACTTGTCACTTAATTTTGTTGTTGCAATTAAAGTATAAAGGGGCTTTTAGTATATATAGTGGATTAAAACCAAATACAATCTCTAGCCTGCTTGTCAAACGATCAAATATGAAGACTATCACCATATACTTGAATTGTTGAGTCACTCATAAAACTTAATGTTATCCTTAATCATAAAGGTTCTCATACTTCTATTAAAAAAAGTAACCATTAACCAACACTTTAAACTAAATCAAGGAAAAAGACGACAATATATAACTTTTCTAAAAAGTAAGCATAAAGAATAACAAAGTAAACAAAAAGAAACATTAAATGTTGAATGCAAAAAGTATTCATCCAGGCTATGAAATTAACTCGGTTTATCAAAGAAACGGCGACCCAACCCGATTAGGGATCCATCACTCCACCAAATTAATTTGTCCCAAAATACAATAATTAGTACATCCCTAAATAAAAAACATTGTGGCTAAGGCAAGGAATAAGCTGTCAAAACTTAATCGATGGGAGATGAAAGCCTAATGACAAACATAAAAACGCCAGTGTCATGTTCCGCAGTTAGGGGTGAACAATTCACTCTACCGTTCGGTTTTCATCGGTTTCAGTTCGGGTTTTGGTTTATGCAGTTTGGGTGATATTGTACCAAAGTAAAACCATTTCTATTTTGGTTTGGTTTTGGTTCAGTTTGATTTTGGTTTCGGTTCGATTTGCCATAGTCAGAATTATTAGGTTCAATTTAGTTCAATTTGATTCGGATTCATATGTTTTTTACTCGGGTATTTTATTTGATCAAGTTCTATATTTTAGAATTAGAAAATGACAATAGTAGTCTATTGCATCTTCTTGTATTTATTATTTAAATAAAAGGTAAAGAAAACCTAGTTTTGCATCTTACTAAACCTTATGACATGAAAACGTCTAACATATTTTCAATTACTAGAAAATTTATTCACGACGTACAAAAAAGTTTATTGTTGATAAACATTTATAACATCACATAAAATATTCAAAGAAAACAAACTGAATCGGAGGTAAAACTATTGTAAAATTCACAATTTTACTTACATGAGTCATGTAAAGTGTATAGTGTACTCTAGTTTAACTGAAACTATTATAAATGTGATTAGATGTTGTCATCGCCAAGCCTCTTTTGGTACATGTATAATACTCCCTCCGTCCCGTTTTTAACTTCTTACTTTGACCCTCACACATTTTCAGGAATTAAATTTGACTTTACTATTTAGACACTGTTTAGACACTATTTGACATTGTTTGGCATGGTTTGGCACTGTTTGACACTGTTTTGATGTAGAAAAACTTTCTATTTAGGGAAATGAGAAAATGATTTTGGGACGTCCCAAAAAGGAAAGCAGGAAGTTAATAGCGGGACGGGGAGTACAAAATATAACAAATACAAGCATATCTTATTAGCTAAAATTAAAATGTGCAAAGTTAAAATGGCATTATGCTACTAAACGTGTTCTTTTCACATCTATATAATTTATTTATATCGTAAAGATGAAAGTGAAGATAAATACAAATTATTTTTATAAATATTACAAGTTCAGTGTTCAGTTCAGTTTACAGTTTTCCGGTTTAAAACCAACCAAACCATGCCATTATTTGTGAGAAAGTTGCTATCAAATGGTTTACTCAAGTAAACTCAAACTAAATCAAAGTAAGACTTTTCGATTTGACTTGGTTTGGTTCGGTTAAACCAAACATTTTACCCAGCCCCGCGGGTAGCTACAGAGGTGAAACCAAATCATGAAACGTGAAGATACTCATTATGGGGAAACTCGTACGGAATATTTCATATCATAATTAGTAGGAATAAAAACAGGGCCGGTCCTGACTATTTATAGGCGCGAGACAAAAGACAAAAAAAATAGACCTCTAAGGAAAATGCATTTTTTGGCAACACTTTCTAACGTATATAGTATGAGATTGAAAGTAGACAAACATTCATAATGTTAACCTCCAATTTGGGAAAATAACTCTGATACCACATAAAAATGCATTTAATAAAATGGCAAAAGGATTGATTAATAATTTGAGCCTGTTTGGTAACTACTTTTGCGGCTTATCAGGCTTATCAGTCATTTTTCCACCAAACACATAATTTTTTATTCCGAGCATTGAATTGTGTAACAATAAGAAAAAGTAAGGTTTGTGTTACTTTTTTGCTGTATTGACAGAAATTACTGTAGAGGATCATTTTAGCTATTTTTTCATATAATTGTTTATTTTATTTATTAATAAGAAATATTTTAAATATAATTTTTTCGTTAATCAGCAGAATAAGCAAATACAGCCACTTCAACCAGAACTTCAGACATTTCAGCAGAATCAGTCAGTTCAGCCAATTTCAGTGTTACCAAACGAGCTTTTCGTAGAAGAGTTTAACAACTTGAGAAGTGGGAGCCGTTCAAATGGATTAACTCCGACATGTAAGAGTCCATTTGGTGACCTTGTATTGGATGGAGTTGCTGTAGCGTACCATTTTAGCTATTTTTCATGTAATCTTTTCTTTATTTTATTAATAAAATATATTTTAAATATAATTTTTTTTATAAATCGGCAGAATCAGTCAATGGAGTCATAATTTCATAAATTTCAGCAGAATAAGTCAATTAAGCCGATATCAGTGTTATCAAACATGCACTAAATCATGTATAGGGGAAGGTCTAATATTCAAATCAATGAGTTTGAGCGGATGTTAGTATGATAATGCTCTAGCCTCATGGCTAGCTCGAGTGCTTACATAGTCACTGTTTAATCTCGTCTCAAATGGCAATGTGAAAATTATTTTCTTGCCGGCAACTTATTGATGTTTCTAATTTGACCAATCAGCTTCTCTTCTCAGCTCCAGGGAGGTGTGTTGGGACTCCAGGCCACACACATCAATTAGTTAAAATGATTTCTTATGTGTGGTGATATTATAGATGGTGGCAAAGATCTCTCTGATTGTTCAAGCAATTCACATTTACACCTTTAAAGGTTTGAGTGAGTTTTTGTGAATTCATAATAGACCGTATTCAAAATCACTTAAGGATTGAGACTAACAAAGAGCATCTGGGAACTCCTCCCTCCATCTCAAAATTAACACCAACATTTCTTTCTCGGATCTTTTTTTTTTGATCGTCTTCTTTCTCGGATCTTATAAAATTAATTTGCACTTTGGTCTTTTATCATGAATGTTATTTACTCCGTAATTAACTTTAAAAGAAAAAATATGACTTCTATTAAAATTTTCTAAAAAGGTGACACATTCAATGATTCACCAATGAATTGTTACTTTGAAATATAGGAACATGACTCTTGTCCAGTTACTCATACACAATGGCTAGTCATATTTTCGTCCTACAATAGAATTAGTTACGGAGTATATTTTTGTTCGAAGAAATTCTGTTAATAATATACATGTAGTTTTTCTTCTACTTTAGAGGCCGTTTGGCAGCACTGTTTTTCGGCTTATCAGGCTCATCAACCAACTTTTTCACTAAACATGTAATTTTTTCATTCGCACGCTGAATTGTGTAA